AAATTTATTATGAACTGTGAAAAGGAATTTGGTAGGGACTGAAGCATAATGTCCACACACAAGTTATCCTCTAAGACCATTCCTATACCTGTGAGTTTCTCTATCCACTCAATCATCTTTAGGACATGGTTCTGAACCAGTGTCCCCTTAGTCATCCTAGCGCGGAAGAGGCTCTTGGATATCTCATATCGCTGAGTCCTTCCCTGTTCCTCAAACAATTTGCGAACATGTAGGAGAATGGATCTGGCATCCATCTTTTCATGTTGTCTCTGTAACTCAGGAGTCATAGAACCCAACATATAGCATTGAGCAAGAGTGGAGTCATCAATATACTTCACGTAGCGAGTGATCTCATCCTCGCTTGCCTCTTCTTCGGGCGTAGGCATCACTGTATCAAGGACGTACATGATTTTCTCTGCCGTGAGAACAATTCTAAAGTTACGGAGCCAATCTGTATAATTTGGACTAGTGAGGCGGGTTGACATCAAGTATGCCACGTAAGGGATTTGAAAGCGACATTTTCTGAAAATAAAAATGTAGCAGAAATGAATAACATGCAGATTTTGTAAGAAATAAACTATCAAGATATGGAGTTCTATCTTAATATGCTCCCACTATTTTACTAACGAGTCACGCGATACCCTCAGCACGTGAAACGGAAGTCTCCAGCAGACTTCTAATGGGGATCAGGATCCAATCAGCGTGTTAGGACTCTAGCTTCGAGAGTTCTAATTGAGAGGGATATTCATGTAAAACTGTTAGGACTCTAGCTAGGAGAGTCCTAATTGAGAGGGACATTCTGTTATGACTCTAGCTAGGAGAGTCCTAATTTAGAGGAGCATTCATGTAGGAGGTGTTTTCTTAGAGAAGAATTAGGAGTTGTAAGGGAATAGGAGTCTTGACTAGGAGTCCTACTAGGAGTTGGTTAGAAGTAAGAGTCTTAAGTAGGAGTCCTATTAGGAGTTAGGGTTTAGAAGCCCTATAAATAGCCATGTATTCCTTCTCTTTTCATAAGCAATAGATGAATCTTTTCTGCAGCTTTTGAGCAGCAACTTGGAGGGAGGAACCCCTGTAGAGTTCCAAGGAGGTCGATCCCCTAAAGAGATCAACCCCAAGTTTAGAATCTGTAAGGGTTCTAACACCTGGAATCAAAGCAGCGTTCTTGGCATCTTGCTGTCCTTCCATTGCCATCCATTAGCCCTCCACAACCACCCAAAGCAATTCCCACAATTGCTTAAAATATCGTCGTCGAATTCCGCCATCATCTCCACCACCACGGATCACCCTTTGATCTCCCCGTGAATTGCAACAGCATATACTATGGCATCTGAGGAGGTAATCAATACTAAATTCGAAGACTTCGAGGTGCGAATGGAGGATAAGATTTGGATGCTCTTTACCGAACTCAGATTAGGCCGACCACTAAGCACGAAGAAATCACATCAAGGAGAGAGCTATGCCCAATCGCACCAAACCCAAAGATATGACTTCCAAGAGATGGGAAGCTTTATTACTGACCCCAACTATCTATGCATGAGAGTGGACTTCCCTAGATGGGAAGAAGGAGACTCGATTGGTTGGATCTCGCGCGCGGAGCGATTTTTTCAGTACCACAAAACCACGAATGCATCTATGGTGAAAATTACAGCTATACATCTTGAAGGGGATGCTATACAGTGGTTTGACTGGTTTGAACATACTTATGGAGTCCTTTCATGGCAACAATTCAAAGAAGGACTGCTGATCCGCTTCAGACCAACCGATTTACGAGAATATTGATGGACAACTAGCAAAGATCCGACAAACTTCCACCATTTAGGAGTACCAAACTAGGTTTGAAAGGTTATCTAATCAAACTCATGATTGGTCTCAAAAACAGCTATTGAGGACCTTCATTGAGGGCTTGAAGCCGGAGATCCGAAGAGAAGTTAAAGCGCGACAACCGTATACGCTTATGGCAGCCATCTCTTTCGCACGACATCAAGAGGAGCAATTGAACCATGAAGCTCGGAGGACTAGGGTCTCTCCTCAACCAGTAATATTGAAGCTCTCAGTCCCCCCTACTATTGACTAAGTCCCTACACCAAAGATGTTAACAAGAGAAGAGCTTCGGGAGCGATATGCGAAGGGGTTATGTTGGCATTGTGATGAGCCGTGGAGCCATGAGAGGAGGCCATCAAAGGAGTAATAGCAACAGGAGACTAGCGACGGGGTGCTGACTATGGGGTCCGCCAATAGAGTAGTCAGTAGTGATGGATGGTGTTCGCCATCAGCTTGTGAGAAGATAACAGAGAGATGGTTAAAATCTGTGAAAATCAATTAGGAAACCGAGGGTGACGTTGTTGAGCAGAGAAAGAGATCAAGCATGACGATCAGCAAAAAAGAGATATTGCTATCATCAAACAACAAAGAAGGAAAATTCTTGCTCAAAATAAGAGAAGCTATGATACAATAAAGAATTTAGATATTATGAAAAAGATGATAAATATTCATTGAAGTGATAAGTATTTATATAGGTTTCGAGAGAAAATTTTTCTCTATCATAATCAATCAGTTATTTAAATCTGATATTATCTATAACTTAATCTTCTATCATCATAATCTTCTATCATTTTAGTCTTCCTCCTCGCATAAGCCATGAGAACTTCTGCCTCTCCTCGTTGGCTACCCGTAAAGAAAAGTTCATATTTCGTCCGCCTACACCTACTGGGAAAGCTTAAGAAAAGCCTACGATGATTCCATTCATCTCTCTCTAGCCCTCTCTGTGGGATTGCTGTAGGAAACAAAAGAGAAGCCACGGTACGATGTGTACAGTCTCTGTGTCTGCCATGTGCACGAAGGCAAATTACGCTACCCTCCTTTCTTCCTATTCATCAGAGGAGATGAGAGGGACCGAACAAACGCACACCTTTCCATCCTACCTTTTCACTTTTCATTCTGTCACCATAACCAAGATATGATATCTCCATCCACACAAACATCACAAAATAGAAAGATCGTTGGGATCGAGTTATGTGTTCTTCACCACCCAATACATACAATCATTGAACACATCAATCCATTATATTCCGTCATGGTTCTCACGGTGTATGTTTATATGTATTCCTCCTTATTTTCGTGTTGGAAGAGACATCACTGTGCGCATGTGTTGCCTGCTTCCTTTCACAGAGACGCATGGCTGATGCGATCTGACAGCGATAATGACGTCCTCGTCAAGCTCCATAGATCGCCATCGCCGCCATGTTGGTCATCATCATCATAATCATCATCATCATCATCATCATCATCATCATCATCAGCATGCACTACTCTTGCTGATGAGCGAAAGCCAACGCCAGAGTCATCGTCGAGCGGTTTCGGTCCCTCGTACGGGCCGTTGAGCTGGGAGGCAAGTAGCCGGTCGAATGCAGCCCAGTCGCCGCTTCCGGTCTCGGCACGGTGGGCGCTGCCCATGTCGACGGCCGCTGACATCCCGTAGCTCGTTTGGTCATCGCAGGAGTGATCAAGAGGGAAGCTATTTGGGAGTGGCGTGATGGTGGGGCTTCCGGGAGCAGGAAGCTTCATGAACATCTCCTGCAGACCACTAGATGAGGCGATCTCGATCGGCCTCAGGTACTCGATGTTATTACTAGTACTGTTCGTCGTCCATTGGCTTTCTCCCTTGCATGATCGACCCATGTATTGTAGGATCTGATCCAATGCGTCGTCGCCGCTGCCCGGGTGGTGCAGCAACTGGGTCTTGGCATCGCTGGTTACGGAGGCAGAGTTATTAGGTCTGTCAATGGCCCTGTGGTGGTTCTTCTTCTTGAACACTCGGCAGACCACCCAGGCGTCTTCTTGGTTTGTCCCTTCTCCCATAGAACTTGGGGCCTGAATGGTCAAGGACGCATCAGAGAACATAGAATTGATGGTGTAAGCAACAGGTCTACTCCATACGTACGTTGGAGTGGGAGATGAGGTCGGAGTGGTCATCGAGCCGGTACTCGTGCATGATCCAGTCCGACTTCTGGCCATGGGGGGCTCGGCCTCTGTAGAACACCAGCGTCTTCCTCATGCCGATCCGTGTGACGCTGGAATAGATCACCTTGTCGCGGCCGGTGGCCTTCCAGAAGCCGGCGGCCGTTGCTCGATTGGTTCGGGTGCCGGTCGGGTACTTCTTGTCCTTGTGGCTGAAGAAGTACCAGTCGTTCTGCGGCGTCGACCCGATCCTGCACTTCTCTGTGTCCCAAGCCATGGAACTGAGAGCAAGCGCAAGCTCCAAATTTAAGGAGGAGAACGCAGCGAGTAACTCGAAATGTCACCTTGGATGTCCCACGGCTCCAGCTTATTGAGATCAACGTCTCGGATGACGTCCAGATCGATCTTCTCGGACATGACCTTCTTCCTCAGGTAGTAGTTGAGGAGCTCCTCCTCGGTGGGATGGAAGCGGAAGCCCGGCGGCACACAAGACTCGGCGTTCACTGAGATGCTCATGTTTCACGGCTCGATGGATATTACAAGAAGCTCTCAGTCTCCAATGGGGCAAACAAAGCTTATTTATCTCAGCACTGACTCGAGGGAGGTCAGAAGGAGGACAAATGAAAAGGGAATCGCAACATGATTCATTAATATTCTTGGTCTTGGTGTTGTTGTTGCCGGTGGGGTTAGCACTGTTGGATCAAGAGAAGAGCTACCCACCACCCAGTGAGAGAGGAATGGAGATATGCTCAAGAGGTGGTCCCTAAAGCGAGAGACGGTGGAGGGGGTGAGAGAGAGAGAGAGCGAGAGGAGAGGCTTTGAGAGAGAAAGTGATGGAGCAACGGGGCGAGGAGGAGAAGGCCACATCCAAAGCCATGACACCTGACCTCAAAAAAAGGTCTTGGAAAAGCACAACCGAAACTACCGCCATCGCTGGAAAGCGCCCTCCCCTTGATCTCCTCCTCCATCTCTTCCCTCCTCCTCCGTAACCACCCCAAACTCCACTGCTGTGATGGCAGTAAAACAACTCCGACGACCACACGAACTAGAGAGAGAGAGAGAGAGAGAGGACGGGTTGGAGAGACGGAGTTTTCAGGGGCCCCGCGACCAATGGAAATCACATACCTAATGCAATTCACTATCTTTACTGTGCATTCCTCAATCAACACAGGCATCTCCCATTAACCACTCACGTACAAGATCGAGGTTCGATTACGCAAGCATGGAGTGACTTGATGCTTCTGTACGAGACACGTTGTCGCACGGTGTGCAGAAATGGGGCCTCGTGTGGTCATCTGGCGCGCCTCGTCCTCGCGGCGAAGGGGAAGGGGCAAAAGAGACGGAGAGAAAGCTACGAGAGGGCCGCGTCGGGACAAAGTCTCATATTGGCGTCATCCAGTTTGAACTCGGCATGAAGCATTACGTCGAGCAGGTTATGTGCGCATACATTGCGTTCATCATCACTGGTGATAGGGTTAAAAAACTGACCTGACATGACACCCCGGATTTGATGTAATACACCCCCCACGTCGAACACCCTGTGCGGTACACTGCCCCAGAACGAACGTTAATGACGACACGACATGCGCCCACACCCACCGTACCCGGACGACCCCCTCGGTTGACCGACGCTCCTCTCACCCTGTCGAAGCTCGGCTCTCCACGCAACGCCCACGACGACGACAGACGCCATCAGAGATACGGCCCTCCTCCTGCAGGATGGCCCATCAGGTAACATCAAACCCCCTGTATAAATACCCCCGGCTCCCAACCGAAATGGGGGGGGGGGAGGGGAACCGATCTCTCAATACTATACTTTCTCCCCACTGACCCGATCGTCGGAGGGGTCGGGCCGAGCTACCGACCCGACCTGTGTGCAGGCACCCGACCGCTGTTAAGCCTGCTCGACAAGGCGGAGTTTCCCAGCGAGATCCCCCGCATCCGCCGCCCCGGGACTTCAAAGGGAGCCACGTCTGATCCGAGTCATTTGGAGCCCTGAACCAGCCGCGTCGACCCCGAAATCATGGCTAAAAAGTTACTTACCGTAATAGATTGGCACTAGAAGGAGGGCCGCATCCAAATGTCAGGCGACCAGCGAATCCACCTCGACGGATCCTCAAATGCGGAGCTCCCCGCCTTAGGGGAACACCGTGACGAAACCCACTACGAACGCCCCGCAGCGGTATCAGAACGCTACTGGCGACTGTTCAACGACCCGGGCTTGTCGCCCCCCGGCGGTGCCCCCGCCGACCCGTCGCAAGTGCCACCCGAGGCCTTTCATGACCTCGCCCACCAGGTCCGAGCTTTGACAAGCATGGTGCAGACTATCGTCTCCCAACGAACCTCTCCGCACGCGGCGCGGCCTTCGCAGCAACAGGAGCCTCCCGCCCGGACCCACGTGCCACTCCCAGAGCTTCCTGGCTCGCCTCGAAACCCTACAACTCGTCCTGGGAGCCGGGAAGCAGAGGACACGGTGAGTCGTCCCGAACCCGAGGCTCCGACCGCCGATTCGACGAACGCTTTACGAGCTCAGCTGCGCCTCGTCAGTCAAAGGCTTGACGAGGTACAATAGGAAGTTCGTAAGTCAAAGGGAGAGCTCGGGGCGGACGGACACCAAGGATCTCCGTTCACCCTCGAGATACAGGACCAGGCGATCCCGCCGCACTTCCGCCTCCCCTCACTGGATGCGTATGACGGCGCAGCCGACCCGGCGGACCACGTGGCTGCTTTTCGGGCCCAGATGGCGCTATACGGGACTTCAGACACCCTGATGTGCAGGGCGTTCCCGACGACTCTGCGGGGACCAGCCCGCGCGTGGTACAGCGGCCTGAAGCCAGGGACCATCGCCTCCTTCGACCAGCTCGCCAAGGATTTCGAGCTTAACTTCCTGGCGTACGCCCGACCAAAGTCGTCCATGGCGTTGCTCTTGGGGCTCAACCAGAAGGAGGACGAGCCCCTCTCCCACTTTGTGAACCGATTTACAACACAAATCCGTGGATTGTCGGACGCTCACCCCTCTCTCTTGATGCAGGCCTTCATGACTGGCCTGCGGCCCTCCAGGTTCTTCTGGTCGCTCGTGGAGCAGCCCCCCGTCGCGGTCCCCGAGATGCTCCAACGTGCCGGTCAGTTTATCGCCGCGGAAACCTGGATGGCTGGAAAGCGGGAGGAGCACAAAAAGGTCAAGTCAGAATCGCCCCGGCAGCAACAACCTACCGCCTCCCGGCGAAAGTTGGACAGACCTAACCTGAGGCCTCCTCTTCCCGCCTTGAATTCTTCCCGGACTGAAATATTCCTACACGAGAAAGGGAAGGGGCTGCTCAGGGACCCTCACCCGATGAAGAACCCGTAGGAGCTCGCAGACCGTTCAAAGTATTGCCGATTCCATCGACAACACGGGCACGACACTGAGCAGTGCTATGAGTTGAAGAGACAAATCGAGGAGCTCATCCTCAGAGGTCATCTCGGCCAGTACCTCCGGCCGAACAAGGAGCAGTCACCTCGCCCAGAGGGCCCTGTCGAGTGACACATCGATGTCATAGCCGGAGGCCCCGCATCCGGAGGAAGTTCCATGTCGAGCAGGAAGGCGTACGCCCGGTCCGCTCCCGATGAAGCCTCGGGACACGAGCCCGAGCCCGAGATCACCTTTCCAACCGGAGCCGCTGAGCGACCCGACCACGACGACGCCTTGGTGATATCGGCCAGGGTAGCCAATGCGCAAATGAGGAGAATCATGGTCGACACGGGGAGCTCGGCCGACATACTCTACTTCGGCGCCTTCCAGAAGCTAGGCCTGGCCAGGGAAAATTTAAGCCCGATCTGCTCGGCGCTCACCGGTTTCACGGGAGATTCAATATCGCCCTTGGGATCCATTACCTTGCCTCTGACTGTGGGGACCCCGCCGAGATCGAAGATCGTAATGACCACTTTCCTGGTGGTCGACCTTCCCACCGCTTACAATGCCATACTCGGTCGATAGACCCTCAACAGGGTCAGAGCCGTCGTCTCAACCTACTACCGGACCGTCAAATTCCCGACTCGCGAGGGGGTCGGGGAAGTCACCGGAAGCCCCCGAGAGTCCAGGCGCTGCTACCTTACCTCCGTCTCATTGGGCAAGAGAACCAGGGCCGAGGCGCCCCTGGAAGATCCGCGGGAAGCATAGAAACTGGCTCCTCATCCCGAGCCAAGGGGATCCACTGTTGACGTTCCTTTGCAGGAAGCGCGGCCGAACCAAACGGTTAGGGTCGGATTGGAACTACCCGAACGGGAACGGGAACAGCTCGTCGGTCTTCTGCGGGAAAATGCCGACATCTTCGCCTGGTCCCCATCGGACATGGGGGGGGTCGACCCAGAGGTCGCGGAGCATCATCTCAATATCCCACCTGACGCTCGCCCAGTGAAGCAAAAGCCCCGGCGCCACGCCCCTGACCGACAACGCGCCATACAAGAGGAGGTGGACCGACTCTTAGCGGCAGGCTTCATAGAAGAAGCCAAGTATCCTCAGTGGTTGTCCAATGTAGTTCTCATGAAAAAACACAATGGAAGCTGGAGGATGTGCGTTGACTACACCAGTCTCAATAGTGCATGTCCTAAAGACTGCTATCCCCTCCCGAAAATCGACCAGCTAGTCGACGCGACGGCGGGGCACGCACGCCTCTCTTTCATGGACGCCTATTCAGGGTACAACCAGATCAAGATGGCGCCCGAAGACAGAGAACATACAGCTTTCCTCACCGATCAAGGGATATACTTCTACAAGGTCATGCCGTTCGGGTTAAAAAATGCCGGGGCCACATACCAGAGGACGGTAAACAAGATGTTTGCCCATCAAATCGGCAGAAACATGGAAGTCTACGTGGACGACATGATTGTGAAAAGCCGAGAGGCTGGCACGCACCTCGCCGACCTGGCCGAGGCCTTCGCCACGCTGCGCAAGTTCGGCATGCGGCTCAACCCCACAAAGTGCGCTTTCGGCGTCACCTCCGGGAAGTTCCTGGGATTCATTGTACACCAGAGAGGAATCGACGCCGACCCAGAGAAGGTACAGGCAATAATCGATATGCAGTCTCCCCGGACGGTTAAAGACCTGCAGCGATTCAACGGAAGACTTGTCGCCCTATCCCGCTTCCTCGCCCGATCGGGCGATCGCTGCCTCCCGTTCTTCAAGGCGCTCAAAAACCCGAAGAATTTTCAATGGACATCGGAATGCGAGGAGGCTTTAAAGCAGATAAAGCAGCACTTGGCCGGCCTCCCTCGGTTCGCCTCTGTCTCCCCCGGCGAGAAGCTGGGACTCTACCTAGCAGCCTCCCCGCATGCAGTCAGCTCCGTCCTTGTCAAGGAAAGCTCCGGCCTGCAACTCCCGATCTACTATGTCAGCCACGTCCTGAGTGGACCTGAAGAGCGTTACCCGCCGATAGAAAAACTCGCACTCGCCCTGGTGCTCTCGGCTCGAAAGTTGCGCCCTTATTTCCAGGCGCACCCGGTGGAAGTCATCACTGACCAGCCTCTTCGGCAGGTCTTAACAAAATTTGATGTTGCAGGTCGGCTCCTCCGATGGGCGGTGGAGCTCGGTGAACATGATATCAGTTATGTACCCAGGACCGCCATGAAGGCCCAGGCGGTAGCCGACTTCGTCGCGGAGTTAGCTCCGATGGACAGAGATCCCGAGTAAACCCCCAAGGCTTGGATCCTACACGTGGACGGCTCGGCCAACTCGAGGGGTGCCGGAGCGGGGCTGATCCTCCTCGCCCCTGACGGACGCTCGTTCGAGCGTTCCCTCCGCTTCAGGTTTAAAGCCACTAATAACGAGGTGGAATACGAGGCACTCCTAGCGGGATTAAGGCTGGCCCTCGAGATGCAGGCGGACGCAATACACGTCCTCACCGACTCGCAACTTGTGGCCAAACAGCTCAGCGGTGGATATGAAGCTCGGGACGCAACCATGGCCAAATACCTGGCACGGGTAAGGGACCTAACCACGAGATTCCCTTACTTTACATTATCTAATGTTCCGAGGGAGGAAAACGAGCGAGCCGATGCGCTCGCTAAGCTGGCGTCAAGACAAACCCCCGAAGCGTGGCCAGAGATTGAGGAACTCCCCGCTTGCGCCATCGAAGTAGCAACTACGGCCCCAGGCGGTGCGCCGACCATGTGGGTGCAAGAGTTGCTGCGCTTCAAGCGGGATGGAACTCTCCCCCTCGACGAAGTCGCAGCTCGGCGTCTGCGCCGCACACACGCGTGGTACGCCGAGGAGAGTGGTCGGCTTTACAAACGGTCCTTCGCCCATCCCCTCCTGCGATGCTTGGAGCCTGACGAAGCATGGACAGTCCTGGCCGAAACTCACGAGGGGGTCTGCGGCGGACACATCGGCGGACGAACCTTGGCGCACAAGATACTCCGCCAAGGCTACTACTGGCCAACCATGTGCCGAGATGCGAAAGCCTACGTGCAGCGGTGCGGTTCGTGCCAGCAACACGCCCGCGCACCCCGACAACCCTCGGTCCCGCTCTGCCCCATCAACTGCGCATGGTCGTTTGCCCAGTGGGGGCTGGACCTCCTCGGTCCCTTCCCACCGGCTTCTGGACAGCGGAAGTACATAATTGTAGGAGTAGACTACTTCACAAAGTGGGTCGAGGCCGAGCCACTGGCGACGATCACGGAACATCAGATGGAGAAATTTGTGTGGAAGAACCTGATAACTCGGTTCGGGTTGCCCAAGGCCATTATCACCGACAACGGACCTCAGTTCGCAGGCACAAGGTTCCGGGAATTCTGCGCCGGTCATGGCATTCAACTGAGGTTCAGCTCGGTGGCCCACCC